TGGCAGTGGTGGGGGAGGGGGGCGGTGGCTGGCCAGTGAGGGAATCTGAACCCTTGACCTCGGTGTTATAACACTGCACTCTAACTGACCTAACTGGCCAGTCCTTGTGTTATCTTTTAATTCTATTTTCCACAAACTTTTTGAAGTACCCACATAATGTCTTTTTAAAACAATGTATTTGAGATTATAATATACAACCTTCCCCAACTTCTATGATGAAAAATTTTCAAATGTGGAAAAGTTGAAAGGATAAAAACATTGTTGCTCTCCAGCCATATTCAACAGTCGTTAGCATTTTGCCATGATTGCTTTGTTTCCCTATATGCTTTATTTATATACATTTATGCACAATTGCTGTCTCACTTGAAAGTAAGTCGTAGGTCTCAGGTCACTTCACTTTATGTACACCAATAGCATCTCCTAAGAAGGAGGATTATCTGTCTCCTGTATAAATACTATACTGCTACCACACCTAGGAAAATACGCAGTAACTCCATAATGTCCGTCTTTCCCTGCTTGTCCCAAGAATGTGTTTTATAGCTTCTTTCCTTTAAACTATTATCATCCAAACTAGGGTCGCACATTATATTTGGAAGTTAGGTTTCTTTAGTCTCTTTTTAGTGTAGTACAGTCCTCCTCTAACTTAAAAGAAAATTTTCAACTGAGGCATAACATATTCAGTGAAATGCACACATCTTAACTTTACAGCTTATGAAGTTTCACATATGTAAACTGTAAAATTTTTATTCCTGCAGTTTTCCCCTAACATAGTGAACATTTCCCCTCCATATTCAGTTTTCACAGATGGAATGATTTGGGGCCACTTTTGGCTTTGTAAATGGACCATATGTCAATGTGTTAATTTTTTAGTTGTGATGTGAGCCTGTCTGTTTCTGTTTCTTCCATCTTGTCTTGGTCATTCTTGTTTTGGCCAGAATAAAGAAAAAACATCTGTACTTGGGTTTTGGGCACCATGACTCCTGACTGGACCTGAAGGATGGGACTTAATAGGGGTTGATTTTAATTGTATTGGCCTCCGTATGCTACTGTAGCCTTCACTGAGGTCACACATAGCGGCAGTTGCCAGATCCCCGTAGATAAAGCATGACTGTGAAGGCGGAATAGAAAACAGTCTACCCGCACTGAGCTGGAGTTGCCAGAAGTGAACAGATGAGCGCTGAGTGCGAGCGTGTGCCAGAGCTGTCCTGGGGCCACTTTGTCCAGATCTCAGGAGCCTCCTGGAAAGCACTAATGTCTGAGAGGAAGTGAGGAGATCATTGGGGGACTGTAGTTGACTCCTGCTGTTGCCTACACACTGGTAGACTGTGGTCCCACGAGATGCCTCCTGGGGCGAGGCTGCACAGAGCCCATCTCCCATCAGGTGCTGCACACTTGGGGCTTGCTTTGGTCACGCTAACCAAAGGTTCATAGCAAGTTTTGACTCCTGCTGTTGCCTACACACTGGTAGACTGTGGTCCCACGAGATGCCTCCTGGGGCGAGGCTGCACAGAGCCCATCTCTCATCAGGTGCTGCACACTTGGGGCTTGCTTTGGTCACGCTAACCAAAGGTTCATAGCAAGTTTAGCTTCTTGCACCTGCCTCACATGGGGAGCACCTGAAGAAACACTTGCAACATCGGTTTATTCTGATATTTGCCTCCACTTTTACCAAAGGTTGCCCTCATTCACTCATAACTTTCATAATTTTTATGGGGTTTCCCTTGCTTCCTTGACCCTGTTTGTGCTGAGAGCTGGTGGGCTGTGCCCCATCTCACTGATTTGGAGGAACTGAAAGTGTTGACCTTCATTGCTGTGTCTTGTTTTGTGACCAGACGTTTTCTGTTTTTCATACAGCAGTGTGTCCCCTTCTGGAAAATGCACCCAGAAGGGTTTTTCTTCCCCAAGGCAGCACTGAGGTCCATGGAATTGTATGCTCTGCTGACTAGAGTACCTAAGAGACAGAAATATGTCGTGTAGACTAGGGGTCTGTGAAGGGCCAGGAAGTAAATCTTTTAAGCTTTACAGTCTCCAGTGGTCTCTTGGTCAACATCAGCTTCCCCCCCCCACCCTTTAAAAATGTTAAAACAATTCTTAGCTCCCTGAGTGAGCTGGATTCAGCTTGCAGACCATCATTTGCCAGCCCCTGCCCTAGACTCAGGGCATTACATCTTATGGCTGGGAAGGAGGTTCATTTTGGACACACGGTTCTGCCTTTGTCTGAGGTATAGCCAGGAGGGGTTGGGGAGCTCTTCCCAAAATAGGCAGGTGTCCTGCTGACCTTTCTAGAAGGAACTGGAAAGTCCCCACCAAGGACCATGATGTAACAACTTTTAACATTTGCCAATTCCCTGTTATTTTCCTTCCTTGTTTTCCTTCAGCATATCTAAAGGGAAAACTAAAAGGTAAAGGACTTAATGCGTTGACATTTTGGAGGCAGCAAATAACATGGTTTCTGGCAATATGGTGCTTCACTCTGCTGCTCTTAGGTTGAATGGGCAGTTGTTCAGGTAGAGCAGAGCTCTGGGGCCAGAGAAAGAGTAGGGACCATGAGTCAGTCTGGCCAGAGAAAGGGGTGCAGGCAAGACTTCCCATAGCATCATCCAGGCATTGAAGGGGTCTGCTGACAATCAGTTCCATCCCTTGCCACCGTAGGACTCTTGGGTTTAGTCTAAACCTTAGACCAGAAGTCCTGGCTGAGTTCATCTGCTCTCCAGGTAGAGCCACAAGTGTGCAGGGTTGATGCTGACTCATGTTTCTCTTTCATACACTAGAGACATCTGAACAGCTGACCCCTGAGGAGGAGCCTGAGGAGACAGAAACCTGGGCCAAGCCTCTGAGCCAACTGTGGCAGAACCGACCCCCAAATTTTGAGGCTGAAAAGGAATTCAATGAGAGTATGGCCCAGCAGGCCCCTCACTGCGCCGTCTGTATGATTTTCCAGACTTACCATCAGGTAAGCCTGTTCCATCCCCTCTGTGTGTACCCAGGACCAGCAGTCAGAGCGAAGCTAGATTTAATTGTGAGTGCATAGCTGATCACTGGTTGTCTTGGGAAAGGCTTTTTTTCTAGCATTCTTTACCCCATCCGTGTATTGGTCAGGCCTTGCCAGGCAGATAACCCAGCAATGTGGGTTTTCACTTGAGGCTACTTTGGAGATGAGCTGAGGATGTGGTTTAGGCCCTCTTTGCACATGCACTCTCCACAGACTTCACTGTTTGCAAAACAGTCTCTTTTTTTTTTTTATCGTCATTCTAGTTGATGATTATTCCTGCCAGGTAGTTTGTAGTTCTGGTGAGTCATCATGGAGGACTACAATCTAAACTTCAGATGAAAAGCAGGTCCTCTAATGTTGTCTACCTCTTTCCTTTCCTGTTGCCACTGTGGGTGCTCCCAGTAGCCAGAAGGTTCTTGGGAGGGGAGAAACAAAGGGCCTGACTGGGGGAGGGGAGTGGAGAAGCCTGGTCACTGAGCTCAGTTCTGCTCCTCCCACCCTGGGGTGTTGCGGATTCCACCATCATGGATCTCTTTGGGTCCAGCTCTAGGGGGCCAGAAAGGCATTCATAGCAGCAGGTTCCAGGAGACCAGCTCAGTCTCAGCTGGAACCTGCACAGGGTGGCAGGTAGGTAAGCAGTTCTCCTATGGTGGTTAATGTAGCATAGCTGCCACTGAGCCATTGCCTGTGAGGGAAGTGAATGGCCTGGTTCTTAGTGTCAGCAGATCTAGTGAGGGTTAGTGTTTCACAAATAGCATAGGCTCAGGGGGTGACATGTTCCTGTACCCCATCCTTGGAATGAGGGTGATGGTGCCATCCAGTAGCAGGGCCAGCAGGTGTTCACAATCAGTATAGTTTCTCAAGGGAAGTATGTGGACGTAATGTTCTTTCTGGAGGGGCCCCAAGCCAGGAATCACAGGTGGGGCTCCAGCCATGTGACAGTACTGCAGCTCAGGTGACCTGCTGACATGGACAGCCAGAGGCAACCAGTGCTGGCTCATTGGAAGCACGTGCTCTGGGTGCTCTCCCCGGGTGGGGCCACATGTGGTGTAGCACATAGGGGAGCCCACAGCAGCATCCTAGCTGCTTAGCATCTCAGTGCATTTTATTACCGCTTGGTTTGGGAAGATTGAAATCCCAGTTGCCTCTTACCTCGCTCCCTTTTCTCAGTTGCCCCCTAGGGGCCTTTGTTTGATGCTGCAATGAGAAATTGAATTTGAGTCATTAGAGGTAACTTCAATTAGTAGCTCCGGGATAATGGCTGTGCACCTGGGAGCAATAGCCATGGTCATATCAGTAAGAGAACCAGCTTTCTGCTGATGGAGCAGGTGGGGAGCTAAGAGCACAGGCATGTGCTCACTGAGGTGTGCACTTGTTCTTTCCTCTTAGGTTGAGTTTGGAGGCCTTAATCAGAACTGTGGAAATGCTCCAGATTTAGCCCTCCAGAAGCAGAGGACCAAGCCATTGATTCCAGAAATGTGCTTCACCTCAACTGGCTGCAGCACGGACATCAACCTTTCTACTCCCTACCTTGAGGAGGATGGCACCAGCATTCTAGTTTCCTGCAAGAAGTGCAGTGTCCGGGTCCATGCCAGTGAGTGCCTCTCACCTTTCTCTGCGTCCTTTCCCAGGAGCATGGGCCTGCTCACTGGAAGTCCCTGCCACCTGTCGATCCCCCAGTTCCCTCATGCAAAGGTTGCTTGTGTGTTGTTGATTGATTCTCACTGGACTCCAAGAGTCCATTCTTGCCTTAGTCAACTCTGTGCTGTCCTCCTGGCTCTGGATACCAGTTGGGGATTAGTTCCTGCTGCTCAGTAGGTGTTTGTACCAGTGGGTCTGCAGTTCTTGACTTTTTGAGACTTTGGGCTGTACTGTTTGGTTGAGCCCTGAGGACTCTGACTCTAGAATTCAGAGGGTTTTGTAAGATTTGGTTGGAGCTTTGGAAGGTGGTATATGGAAAAGAATTGTAAGACTACATTCTGACTGTCACCTCTGGGTTCAATTTACTCATGTCGTTGTCCCTGTTAGGTTGCTATGGAGTCCCCCCTGAAAAGGCTTCTGAAGACTGGATGTGTTCTCGGTGTTCAGCCAATGCCCTGGAGGAGGTGAGTACGCCCACATTCTTACTGTTTTCCCCTGAGACTTGGAGTACATTCAGGGCCAGACTGTTTCATGTTGGACTTTATATCCCCAGAAATCTGCCTAGGGCCAGGTACACAGTGATGTCAGAGAGTAAGTTTTATGAGGATAAATCCTATGACATTGAGAGTGGTTGCTGCCCACTGTGGCTGGCATGAATGGAGTCTGGAAGTTGTGTTTTCTCCTTGTGTGAAGACCACGCTGACATGGTTATGGTTCCTGTGGAGGAACCATAACCCTCTTTGAAGAATTTAGCCATTGGGTTGTAGACTCAGGATGGGGCTCAGATGGTTCATTTTGTAGCTTTCTCCTCATTGTCCCCCTAGAACCTGGCAGTTCCCCATATAGGAAGCAGTCAGAGCCTTGTAGTCTCATCAGTTTGAATACAGTATCTTTTTTTTTTTTTTCCTTTTTGTCTTTTTTTGTGACCGGTAACGGGATTGCAACCCTCGGTGTCGCGCCCGTACCGCGACCGGCAACGGGATCACAACCCTCGGTGTTGCGCCTGCACCGCCCACACACTCAGTATGGCGACACTTCTGGTTCCCACCTTCCTGGGTCCCAGGCACCTGCTGGTGGAGGTCAGTGGTCACACTGGGTAAGGGAGGATACACTGTGTGTAGGCCCACATTAGAGGAGAAGATCACAGGGCCTTGGACCCAGGGCTGACTGAGGTAGCCTTTGCCTTTTGGCAGGTGGGTCCACGTTTCATGTGCTGTGGCAATTTTGGAAGCAAGGTTTGTCAACATTGCAGAAAGAAGTCCGGTGGACGTGAGCAAAATCCCCCTGCCTCGCTTCAAACTGGTAAGGAAGAAGAGTTGGGTGTGTGGACTCTACACAGTTACCCTTCTGAAGGGTCTCTGGGTGCAGGAGAACAAAGCATCTCTGCTTGGCCAGTAGCCACTTTTACCCTCTGGTATTGGTCAGTTTGTGATTCTCACCCTGTTGTTAAATTACTTAATAAGTACACCCATAATGAGACATGAGATGAGAACAGGTTGTGTGTGCCCTTGTGTTTTGGGAAGGTGGTTGGCTCTAGCTCAGTTGGCTGTGTGCATTTGGGAGGGGGGACAATAGAGGAGAGTGCGCCACCAGGCCGGCCAAAATACAGTATCTTTTTTTGACTTTGCTTACAGTTATTATTAACAGTAATGGTGAAGAGGATTATGTTAAGTTGAGTGACTACTTGGTACACATTAGCCCCAAGTGGCCTCTCCATCTTCCTACAGAGGAGTCCTGATTACAGGGGCTGCATAGGAGAAGCCCCACATGCTATGATTCTGTTTTCTTATGTTGAGGTTAGAGTTGCCCAAAGGAAGTTGGGGGGAAGAATAGATTGGATGTTAATGACTTGAGGTAACCACTTTCCTCCCTCTCCCTTCTTGGCAGGACTGCTGTTTATGCTCATTACGAGGAGGGGCCCTGCAGAGAGCAAATGATGACAGGTGAGTTTTCTGATCAGTCTGAGAACACACAGGCTCGGTTCTGAAGCAGCATGCAGCAGCATTGCGAGTGCAGTGGCTGTTCTCCTGAATGACCTATGAGGATTTGGGAAGTATATCATGTGTCCCTGAAATAGCATCTCCAAGGCTAATTTTAAACATAGGATGCCAAGGGGAGCCAAATACTCCCAGACCTTGCCAACTCCAGTTTTCCCTCTGAGGCAGAGATGTAAGTAACATCTTTCTTTTGGAGGAGCAAAGAGTGGCCTCACAAAAGTATGAAGACCCCATAAAGGTGATGCAGGGACTTTGTGAGCTGAGAGCAAGGACATTTACCCTGTTAAAGCTGGAGCTGGTGTGCAGAGTGGCCACGGCCAGGGTCTAGAGAGCAACTTTTCATACAGCAAACTCTCCCTGGCTCAGACCTGCTGTTTGGAATGAGGGTGAGTGTCCTCCAGGAGGACAGTGGGACATTGAGAAGAGCTCAGCCAGGCCCACCCACTACTGAATCAAATCTACAGAAGTTTCTGGGCTTCTCTGCTGTCAGTCAGCTCATTTCCATGGAGCTGGATCTTTGTGCTCAGTCTCATGTTTAGTTGTTCAGAGGTAGCAGCATAGGATAAATGAGGTTTTTGCCCTGGAGAGCTGGCTGTCTGGGGGATAGCACACACAGGTGAGTGGGCACTAGCAGTGAGTATGCTGCTTCCAAGCGAGCTCCTGTGGGAACTTGAAGCATACATGCTGTCCAGCCTCCTGCCTCCCGGGAAGCCCCGCTTGCTGTTCCAGATAGAGGACTCTTCTTGCTGCTTCCACTCCTTTCAAGGCACTTGCTGCCATTGCTTGAGGTCATGGTGTTCCTCACAATTGTGGGACAGTGCCGGTAACGTTTTCTTTATTTGGGGTGGAAAGAGCCCTGCTTGAGCCTCTCACCTTTACCTTTTAATCCCTATTCTGTCCTCCAAGCTACACAAAACAAATCTGTTCGCGCTCCCACACAGTAGCCTTGCCGGCGCTGCAGACAGCTTCCACGCAGCCTCAGCCTTGTCTGTGGTAGGTTTTCACATGGCCTCATTTTAAGTGCTTTCACCATTTTTGTTGTTCTCATCCTGGCTCATGTTGGGTTTCCCAAAAATGCCCAGCACCAATTCTCTCATTCTCTAAGGATATCTGTCGAACAGACCTCTCAGAGTATGTGGGGCTTGGGCCAGACCTTAAAGAGTAAGTCTGCTATGGATAAAGGGAGCAGAAGGGAGAGGTCATTTCAGCCTAGGGGAAAGCTGTGGTTACTGGCAGATTGGGGCACAGTTGGGTATGTTTTCAGGAAGCACACAGGTCCTGTGGTGAAAGAGGTCTGTGTCAGGCTCTCTAATTTACTCTCACTCCCTGAAACCTGCCACACTCAATTAGCTGGGGCTCTGCTCATTTTGCAACAGACTGAATGAGTGAGAGTGTAAGAAGTGTGGCCCTGTGCTAAGCCTGGGCAGTGTTGGGGGGGGCTGTTTCCACACACTCAGTATGGCGACACTTCTGGTTCCCACCTTCCTGGGTCCCAGGCACCTGCTGGTGGAGGTCAGTGGTCACACTGGGTAAGGGAGGATACACTGTGTGTAGGCCCACATTAGAGGAGAAGATCACAGGGCCTTGGACCCAGGGCTGACTGAGGTAGCCTTTGCCTTTTGGCAGGTGGGTCCACGTTTCATGTGCTGTGGCAATTTTGGAAGCAAGGTTTGTCAACATTGCAGAAAGAAGTCCGGTGGACGTGAGCAAAATCCCCCTGCCTCGCTTCAAACTGGTAAGGAAGAAGAGTTGGGTGTGTGGACTCTACACAGTTACCCTTCTGAAGGGTCTCTGGGTGCAGGAGAACAAAGCATCTCTGCTTGGCCAGTAGCCACTTTTACCCTCTGGTATTGGTCAGTTTGTGATTCTCACCCTGTTGTTAAATTACTTAATAAGTACACCCATAATGAGACATGAGATGAGAACAGGTTGTGTGTGCCCTTGTGTTTTGGGAAGGTGGTTGGCTCTAGCTCAGTTGGCTGTGTGCATTTGGGAGGGGGGACAATAGAGGAGGCTGTACTATCAGTTCCTGGAATCATTGGCTTTCTTTCCCTGCATTGAAGAAATGTGTCTTCTGCAAGAAGAGGAGGAAAAGAACCGCCGGCTGCTGCGTGCAGTGTTCTCATGGCCGTTGCCCAACTGCTTTTCACGTGAGCTGTGCCCAGGCTGCCGGAGTGATGATGCAGCCGGACGACTGGCCTTTTGTTGTCTTCATTACCTGCTTCCGGCACAAGATTCCTAATTTGGAGGTGAGGAAGGGTGCCATTCTAGAATTCTCCTGGCAGTTTTCAGGATCATTTTCTCTGCATGCTGTCCATTTATTGTGTCAGCAAATATTTCCTCAAGCATTATGCTTTATGGAGAGTGCTAATGAGTGAGGGATTAAGCGATGGCTACTGTCCATCTCTACTCCCTGCCTCGTACTTTGCAATCCAGTGGCACCAAGCTGCTTGTGGGTGATTTCATTTGATTATCCATTCACTCATTTGCTTCACCACCACACTGTCCATCTCTACTCCCTGCCTCGTACTTTGCAATCCAGTCGCACCAAGCTGCTTGTGGGTGATTTCATTTGATTATCCATTCACTCATTTGCTTCACCACCAGGATAAACTCCTTTAGGGTCCGTATCTTATTAATCTGGGCGTCCTTATTACTTCACCCAGTGTCAGGGACATAGCAGAAGCTCTGTAAATGTTGAGAATTAGTGGGGAGACCTCCCAACAGTTAAGCATTAACTTCCATATAGTAGAGACTTTTGCAGTTCTCTAAATGGTGAAGCTCAGAGAAAGATACATGCAATGTTAGCTAGAAGAGTTAAGAAAGGATTTGGGTAGAAGGTAGCTTTTGAAGTGGGTCTTAAATGATAAGAAATGATGAGTGGGAGGCCATTCAAGGCTTCAGAAACAGGCTAAGTCTGGAAGAATGAACATACAAGACTGGTCCTGGGAACATGGTGGGGATGATGCTTGAGGTGAGCAGCACCAGAGGATGAAGGCCCTGGATTGCCACTCTTGGGAGTCTGACCTCTCCCCTGGATGAGGAGAACTTTTTTAATATTATAATTTTGAACTGTATTTTCTAACAGTCATTCTACTGTGGTGATTGAGGAGAAGATTCAAGGAATAAGAATAAGAACTTGAGACAGGGCAACCAGTTGGCTTAGGAGAGAGTGAGGTCTGAAATGAGGACACATTGGCAGAGCTTTGGGGTCACATCTGACCCCAAGAACTTGACAGGGTTTGTTGTTCGCCATGGGGAGAGGGGATGGAGAGAGAGGGAGGGGAGGAGGAAAGGGTGTGGGAACAGGCACTGAAAATGACTCAGGTTACTCCCTTGAGAGATGGAAAGGAGAGATAGGATGATGTTGTTAACTGCAATCAGGAACTGGGGGGAGAGATGAAAAAGAGGAAAGGACATGTAGTCTTTTTTTTTTTTTTTTTTAAAGATGACCGGCAAGGGGATCTTAACTCTTAACTTGGTGTTGTCAGCACCACGCTCACCCAATGAGCTAACCGGCCATCCCTATATAGGGATCCGAACCCGTCGCCTTGGTGTTGTCAGCACCACACTCTCCCAAGTGAGCCACGGGCCGGCCCCAGGACATGTAGTCTTTGACGTCTCTGAAACATTCCAGTTGAGCAACCAGCAGGCAGCTGGATTAGCCATGAGGGTAAAGACTGGATATTGGGCCGGCCCGGTGGCGCACTGGAGAATGCGCCGCTTGGGAGCGCGGCGGCGCTCCCGCCGAGGGTTCGGATCCCATGTGGAGACCGGTTCCCGCTCACTGGCTGAGCGCGGTGCAGATGCAACACTGAGGGTTGCGATCCCGTTGCCGGTCAGTAAAAAAGGACAAAAAAGGACAAAAAAAAAAAAAGACTGGTTATTACCAGCATTTAATAGGACAGTTAAATCCAGTTCCCATTAGCAACAGGGCTCTGGAGATGGCCAGTATGAGAAGCAGATAGCAGAGCATGAGCCAGTGAAAATAGTAGAACACCACAGTCTAGTAGGCTAGCAGAGGGAATACGGTGGCCACAGGCTGCAGAGAAGGCAGGTCTGGTTTGGTGGTTATTGAGTACTCCACACTGAGATGTTGTCGGAGGTTGGGTCAGAAGCCGGACTATAGTTGGGGAAGACCCTGCTATCAGTGAGTTACAGTCCCACAGAAGAGATGGTCATACAGGTTTGTCAGTAGTGTGGAAATACAGCAGAGGGCCTGTCTCAAAGAGTGAACTTTGCACTCTGCCATTTGGGATCACAGAAAAGTCTTTGTTAGCTGACTAGATTCTCCTTTTTCATAAAGATATTTTATTGCGAATGAGAGGTGGTCCAGGGGTATGGTTAGGACCTTAGGAAGATGAAAAATTATTCTATGTGCGTATGAGACTAGAGGAGTAAAAGCTTGAGGTAGCGTTGAGTCCCAGCCATGGTGGGGAAATGATAGTCTTATTGTGGAACAGGGTAGTGCTTTTGGGATTTTCATCTCCACATGCAGAAGTTGGCAGCTGTAGACTGCTGATGCTGTGAGGAATTTGCAGGTACTGTTGAGAATTTCTTTCACTGATTCGTTCTTCAAATATTTATTGAGCATGCCAGGCATAGTTTTGGGTGCTAGAAATATACCAGTGGACTGGACAAAAATGTCCCTGTCCTTCTGGTGGATATAGCATAGTTGAAAGATATGTAGGAAACTAGTAGATACACAGAACGTAAGATGGTGAGAAGTGTGGTGCATAGAAATAAAGCAGGATATGGGGAATGGAAGAGGAGGTACTAAGGAATGGCATTAGTAAGTTGACACTTGGATGTGAGAGAGCAACTGTGCAGATAAGTGAGGAATGGCATATCAGGAAGAGGGAACAGCAATGCAGAGACCCTGAGTACAAACGTGTGGCACACACGTTCAGGGACCAGCAAGGAGGCTGCATGGCTGAGCAGAGCAGAATGTGTGGGCAGGTTGGGCAGGAGTGGCTGGATATGAGGCTACCATGTTCTTTGTGATCCCGTTAGCATCAAGGACAAGTTCAGAACAAGAAGGATGAGGTGAGGGCACCAGAGATGGCAATAGCAGGATCCTTGTCATGGGGGCAGTTTGTTGTATGCAGCTGGGGACATCCAGGAAACCTCATTCTTTGTGTCCTAGCCTGCAGGGTAGATAGAGCCAGTGCTGAGATCTGTGTGGAGCATTGCCTGGGGGCCCAGGGCCTCTGGTCACCTATTGAGTCTCCCCTTTGATACTTTGGTTTGTATCTAAGGTGTGTGCATTAGTAGGTGGTATTTGTTCAGTTCCTCACAACAACAGGGAAGTCACAAGAGTCTGTTCAGGGAGTTTTGGGTAAGAGTCTGTTCAGGGAGTCTGTTCAGGGTGTGGTGAAACAACCCGTTGTGGATTGGGAGCTAGGGAGGAGCTAAATTTATAGAGGAAAATATGGCACTGTTTCTTCCACTGTCCTGGCTGGGATATGAATATCTAAAAAGGCCTGTTTCAGCTCCCATCTCTTCTCTCCCTTTCACTTTCCATTCTAATGCCTTTTCCCTGATAAAGAGGAACTGATTGATCTCAGTCCCCATTTGCCAGGCCTCAAGTCTGTGTGAGTAACCCAAGCCTCTTGTCTTTTCCAGCGTGCCAAGGGCGCCTTGCAGAGCATCACTGCAGGCCAGAAAGTCATTAGCAAGCATAAGAATGGGCGTTTCTACCAGTGTGAGGTGGTCAGGCTCACCACTGAGACCTTCTATGAAGTCAACTTTGATGATGGTTCCTTCAGCGACAATCTTTATCCTGAGGACATAGTGGTAATGTCTGCAAGGAGCTTCTTGGGCAGTTTGGGATGGGGAATGTCTCTAGTTCTGGCTGGCAGACTGGCTATGGGTCTGCTTGCCTTTTCTAGCCATGTCCCATGGCTCCATCAGTCGGTCCCCAAACAGAAAGGTCCCATGGCTCCATCAGTTGGTCCCCAAACAGAAAGAAGCTTCTGTACTGGGCTGTCCTTGCAAAGAAAATTGTGTGCTAGTAAGTACCCTCCTTCCCCTAGATGTCCCATGGCTCCATCAGTCGGTCCCCAAACAGAAAGAAGCATCTGTACTGGGCTGTCCTTGCAAAGAAAATTGTGTGCTAGTAAGTACCCTCCTTCCCCTAGAATTTCGTGGGAATCAGTGTTTTCTGCAGTTCTTTGAAACATACCTATATTTTGGTCTAAACTATCCTTACAGGCATTCTAGTGCAGTATAAGAGCCCTTTGGAATCAAACCAATTTGCCAGTACTAGCTTCATTGTTTAGTAATTGTGTGATTTTAGGAGAATTATCCAACTTGGAATCTGCTTTGGGCTCTTCACAGTTGAGGGCTTTGGGACCAAGGAGAAACTGCTTGGAGACACCCCTGGCCTGCTTATGTTATCAACACCTGAGACTCTAGAGGCATTGCGTGGACTCAAATCCTAGGTTTCCTGGCTCAGTATTCAGGACTTAGTTCAGGTTTACCCTACCCCCACCCTGCCTTCTCATGTGGCAGACTAAGCCCCAAGGTAGAGGAATAAAGCCCTTCTTCCTTTAACAAATCAGGTATTTCCCATGTTTATACCACATTAGCAACTTAATTGCTAAAAGCACATTCATTAGTTATAAGGTAGACATGTCATACTAAAGACAGTATTGGTAGTATTCATAGCAGTAAGATAGTTATTATTTATCAAGTTCTTATAGTATGCCAGGCACTATGTTAAGTGCTTTATGTCAAGTTCTCTTTAACGTCTCACACCACCTCTGAGGGGTATTATTTCTAACTTATGGAACAGTAATCTCAGGACTTCCTTTTCTAAAGGTTATTGAGAATCCCAAAGCGCTTGTGTTTTTGTGGGTTACAGTCTATGAATATTACTCCA